GCCATTGATTGCCTGCCGACATTTGCGAAGAAGAGGTAGATCCATCAAGGCCAGCGCAAAATGTGCTGACCTCACCCTGGACAATACGTTCAGCTGATTCCCTTTCGCAAGTGGACCCAGGGCAACCCTTCTCCCGTGAGACCGACTCTGGGACCTTGGTGCGGATAGCTTCCAGATAACAGAGCGCTGTTTGTAGAACGCTGCCTGACGTCATGGTGCGGGAAGAGGAGATGGCTGTGTCGTTGGAGATATGGGAGAGTGGAGCTGAATCAGAGTGCAGTCAGACGAGGTGATGTTAAGAAAAGAGAGACCCACGTACATATCTGGACATTGTAGTTCTGATTCAGGGTGCTAGAGGTGGAAGTGAAATGGACGAGACATTGGAGCTCATCACTGGCGTTCTGGACGTGACTTCATGCGCACAAACATGTCACTATCGATGTGGTCGACCACGAGGAATTCATCTCGGTGATCAGGATCAGGGAAACAAACAGCGCCACGAATGAAAGACTGGACTGGAATGAAGATTGAACTTGCCCTTGGGACGGCTTTGACACGAGTAAGTCGTAGATCACGGTCCAACCTGCGAGAAGCACCAATGCCAGCAGTGAATGGCTGAACCAGTGCAAACTCGAAGGAACCAACATCCAGAAGCTGACAACTGAATATAAAAACAAGGCGAACAAAGACCGATACTTCCTGAGTGAGTTTTATAAGTGCACAGTCATAGCGCGGGTGCCCATGGAAGCTTGGAGTGCATCGGAGGTAGTCAGTAGTTTGCTTCCAGTCGATGGAAGACTCGTAGTGAACTTTGAGATATCGATGTTCGCGAATCTAGTTCAGAAATACATAAATCAGTACAAGACATTTACAAAACAAGATCAACTCACCAAGAAGTTTGTGGGTATGGTAACCCATCTCTCCAGTCGATATCCGTACGTCGGTAATGAGTTGTTGATAAAGTCAGAAAACTTCTTACGAAAGCCTTGAAATGCCCGATCCAATTGGCCGCTGTGGTTCTCGATGTCTTGGATGGCTATGGGCTGTTGTGTCGAACCAAGTTTGATGTGCCCCTCGAAAGCAACGGGATTCGGGACTTCATCGTCATCATTGCCCTCTTCTGCCAATGTGCGCCGGTCGTCAAGTACATCCACGTGCGCTCTCAACATTTTGACTGCAAATTTGCGCTTGTCAACACGGAGTATCTAACGAGGTCTTTACATGAGCGAACATCAGATACTATGATGTTAGAAACATACCTGGTCAGCGACATCCTTTCCATTCGACTGGCGCTCGTAGGCCTCTTTGAGGGGGCCATGAAGCTTCTCATTCGGACGGGTGCTGTAGTTGCGTACTACACCCTTCATTCGGATGTCCCTAGTTGCGTGCTTCCAGAGATGCGCCTTTGGAAAGTCCCAGTCAAGCTTAAGACCCTCGATGGGAGAATTGAGAGCGCATTCGATGTAGTCCTAGAATGTGTGATCAACAATCTATTTAAAAAGTGAATGAACAAAACATTTACCTTGAGTGCGCTATCAAAAACAAGTAGTTCAGCATCAATTGCTGCCAGCGTGCTTGATGTATGCACGTCGAGACCAATATAGCTGTCCAATTGCAGATAGCTGCTAATAACGCGGAGAAGTTTGTACCCTTCTGGGCTCGTCCTCTGGTTGAAGACGTTTACCGCAGAATAAAAGACTTGCTGCGCAGCAATCAGTATTAGAAAGCCAAAAGCCTCATGATACATACCTTGGATAGATCTTGCATCTTGTTACCATCACTGAAGGTAATGTGGATGACGGTGCTGAAATGATTAAGATTGCGCCATCGAGGGAAACTAGCAACCCTACCGAAGGTCATGAGTTGATGAGAATCGCGATGTGAATGACTTACTGTTTCTCAACCTTTGACTCTTCATCACGTCCAAGTGCTTTGAGGATTTTCTTCAACTCCTCAAGTAGGTGCCTCCACATGCCAAGATGGAGAGCATGAAGGCGGTCAAAACTGATGGCTTGATGAGGATCAGAGTGGGAAATGAGCCAGAAAACATTCTGTTGATGTATTAGCAAAGATCAGAATTGTATGGGATAACGAGATATGAAGGAGATGGGCAGGAAGAGGAGAATTATCAGATAACTAAAACACAGAACTATGGGGAATCTTGCCGGAGGTCCAGTGCGCGAGCATCCCTCTGCTTTAAAACAGCGAGAGCGGCAGTCTAAAAGGATTGAGGTCCAGTGCGCGAGCATCCCTCTGCTTTAAAACAGCAAGAGCGGCAGTCTGGAAGCTACTCTGCTTGAACCTGTAATTTACAAGCAAGCGGAGGCGAAACGAGAGAGTGAATATCACTGCTGACTTACCGTGACAGCGCGCAATCCTAATGCCTTGAGAAGTTCCTCGCCTCGAGCTTTGCTGACCTTGTAAACATTGAGTGCGGCTATTGCTTCTTCCACTGATCTAAATGCAAACGTCTTTGATAGCTCACTAAGTTCCTCGAGTGGTACAAGACATACCGGACAGGGACATTTGCTATGGTGGCCGCGAATGAGAGACATCATGCATCTAGAAACAGTCTGATATCAGATTGCGGACACTGTGTGTAAGAATACAGAACTTACTGTTCTTCATAATCAGCAGATAGTATCAGAATAATGGGAAACAGCCAGCGTGCGATCTTGTCATAGCAAGTATGTGAATAGCCAGACTTTGAGTATTGCGCGACCAGTTCCAACAGCTTTAAGAATGCCTCGTGCCATACGACACGCTTGAGGTTTACGAACCCTGGCTTGCCTTTTTCGTCTGCATCTTCAGATACCTGCAACTATAATGAGTCACGTCAGAAGATTCAATCAGAATGTTGACGTACGATTGGCAACCACCCGACAACACGGCCACCACCAATACCCTCTCCGTTTCGTATGCCAACTGGCAAATTCGCGCAACGGACCATGACAGGATATCCCTTTACTGTACCATGGGACGACAGTCTTGTCTTGTCCGCGTACAGGATGAAGCAGAACGGAGCAGCCTTAATGTCATTTGGAAGGCGACTCTGGTTTGTTGATGCTGAGTGAGAGTGGATAGTAACATTAAATAGATATTACATGCCTGTATGTCCCACCATCGATCACCCGTCCACGGCTCGTTGTAAAAGCGTTCAAACTCCCTGCCGTTATGCTTGAAAACTTGTTGTGCGTCCCAGACAAAATGCGGAGCAAGCAGCGGATTAGCTAGCAAATCAAGGGCCCAGTCCCACAGAGGCAGCGCATGGGTCTCATATACTCGTTGTTCTTTCTTATAAGGAACGGTGATGTCGTGTTTTACAAACTAATTCACAACATATATCATACAAAATGTGAGATTAATTAATGACATACTGGCGTCACCTGAGCCGTTGCGTGTTCCCAAGCTTTGCGCAGCTCAATGTCATTTTTAAAAGTGACTCGGCTCTCCCCTCTCGATATGCGGCCAATAAGCGCAAGGAGCCCGTCAATGTGTGACTTGTTGAGGGCGGCATTGAGTGCGATCTCCGCAAACTCGAAGTCACCACGGGACAGAAGGACGCCAGGGCTCTTCATCTACGGGAAGCTCTTCCTCAGGGCGCGTATTGACGCCAAACTCCTCAAATGTTTGAAGGAGCGGTTCACGACGAGCAGAAGGATGATAGACCATTTTGAATTCAATGGGTTGTGGAGGAGGTATTGCAGGTTGCGGTTCAACAGAACCTCGCTGGCTGTTGGCTATGCAAAAGAATCAGTAAGCGATACAGGTGAATATGGTGCACGCTTACCTAGGCTACCAGCACCTTCGAAGTTGCCATCGTAAGCTTCAAAATCACCAGCGTTTGGGTTATCTGCTGGCAACACAGAGTCAGCTAGTGTCAGTTGGCATTGTAGGGACACGCAAAGAATATGCGAGACATACCTAGAGGACCATGATCTTTGATCGCAGGGGGCGCGTTCTGAATCCCAGCGACTGATCGCGATGGGCCAGTGCTGGGCGTTATCATGCCCATGTCAGTGTAAGCCTGCTGCCGAGCTGCATACCTCAATATTGTCAAAGGAAACCATCAAGAATGGGTAGCAGAGGACTCACCTCTCCTCTGATCTCGTGCATATTGAAGGGCAAACTCTGCTCGTTCCGCCTTGGTGTCCTTCTGCTTCTTGCAGCTTGCTTCATGCTTCTTGAAGCCTTGGGTCTTGAACTTCTTGCTACAATGCGGGCATGAAAGCTGCCCTGTCAGAGTTTCTTCTGAGAAGTTGTATTGGCTTCAATGAGTGCGAGAGGGACCCATGCTGATAGCGACGATGCGATACTGTACAATCGATGAACATTATTGTTTATCGATATCATTTCATAAGACAATCTCACGCTTGTGATGACCTCAGCCGCCCTTGAAAGGCGCTTGTAATGTACCTTTTAATGCACATGACCCAAGTCGTAAGCCGGCGGCATTACAATGGCATGTAACTTTTTTCCGACATATCGGTGATGGTTTTGTTGAGAAGTCATTATAAGATGCGATTGTTAGGGCCAGCTGCAGTCGGGCGGGTGGGCGAAGTTCAATTTGATGGTAGTTGGGATCCATTCATAGCAATACTCTACTCAATGCGGGCAGCGTCCGCATGTTGCGGCCATGTGATAAATTTTATTCCTAGATCGTCATCGAGCAAAGGAGTACTCGTCTGGGGAGTTGAAGGGCTGTCATGAATGCTGTTTGCTGACTTTCGATCACATTTCCTTTTTCGTAGTACCAGTACTTACATCTTTTTCATTTCGGCTTTCTCTCCTTCCCAGTTTCGTGCTCGTCTATTTTGATAGGTATAACCTACGTTCCTGTATTTCTGTATTCTAACGTCGTCTATTTTGATAGTCGTTGTGGCTGTCGCTCGGCGTCTCGCCTCGGCTCTTCTCTCTTCTGATAAGGGCATCACTGTGACATCAGGCACATTTTGCCGGAACACCCCATTACATAAGTTACGCGCGACCTTCTTGCTTGTCCCAGCTCCGACCGACAAAACAGGCTCCCACTAAAGTGGGTATCGGGGATGATCGACACCATGCCCATGACACACGCAGATCTCGCATCCCTGGACCTTATGTTCCTTCAAGAGCTCATTTCACCGGAAGTTTCAGCACAGCTTCCCTCAGGAGTCTCCAAGTAAGTCGATCATCGGCTCTCTCCCATTGATTTCGCATTAGAGGACACAGATGCGTCCGCTTGTATCAACAGACTACAAACGCAGACATCTCGATGTCCTTTCCGTTCTATCCATCGTCAACGACCTCTGCGAGGTATTAGCGTGGGTCAGCCAGTTCCACGCCATGCGCGCAACCCCGAACGCATATTTCTCCGTCATCATCCTCGACAAGGCGAGCGATAAGATTGTCGGAGTAGGCACCGTCTTCATTGAGCGCAAGTTCCTCCGCGGTCTTGGGAGAGTCGGCCACATTGAGGATATCGCCGTCGACCGAAGCCAGCAGGGAAAGAAGCTTGGTCTCCGTATCATCCAGGCCCCCACGCATATTAGTGAGAGCGGCGGCTGTTATAAAATCATCCTGAACTGTAATGACACCAACATTCGCGAGTTCCATCCCACCATAGACTTTCGCTTAATGTCCCACAGCTTTCTACCGAAAGTGTGGCTATGTTAAGAAGGAGAAGGAGATGATGAATCTAAGTATTTTTTATAGTTTTTACTAACAGAATGCGCAGGTAAAGTCCACGCCAGAACGTGTTGATCACACACCAAAACTTTGACTTAACGTCTATCCTACACTCCTACAAGCGCTCCGTTCACCTTCTGCCGTGAATCACAATAAGTACACTACGTTTGCCATTGTCTTTTCCTCTTCCTCTTACAAATAGCATTCGAATGTCCCACCGATATCGCATTCTTGACAGTACAGTGTATAGCTATCCGTGTGCGAATGAATCTATGCGTAGGTCAAGCACGACTTTCTCTAACGTCAGCCTTTGACATCCGTCGAATGTCGTCGCATAAGTAGGTCCTTATGCTCTGGAGTACTATGGGCAAAACGGATTGGTATGAAATGTGCGAGTCCGCATCACTGCCCTTCATAGATTTGTCCAGGTTCAAATCACTCGTACCGGAGCTTGCCTCACATCACCTTCCCTTCCAATACAGCTGGTCTGTAAATCACGCACAGTTTTCCCTATGAGTAGCATTTTGGATACCCACCGTGACAACACCGTGAAAAGAGCACACCGAAGCCATGCATGGCATTTTTAAAACTCCGCTCGCCCGATTCACGTTGTTACTCCCCGAATAGGAACCTTTGGTGGCCCTTCGGGAAAGTTCAAAGCACCTCTTTCTGGGAGTTCAAACGTTAACATTTAAAATTTAACCCCTTGTAAAGTTTCGGCTTGGCGGACACCCTCAATTGAATTGTCATGATCAATTTTTTGCAAGGTGTTTAAAGAACAGGAGTATAGTTAGGAGAGAAATGAGCGATCACATGTGGAGCTCAGAAGACATTGAGTGCGATTGCAAAAGGAGTAGAGACTCAGATCAGAGGACTCATCAGGCCTCAGGTGCAGCACACATGGCATGTAGGGGATCACCGGCACCACGGGATTGCAAACATTCCGTCCTTACATAACGAAAAATGTGCTTGTATGTAGGGTTAAAAGTTCGCATTCGAAACCTGGGATCCGAGCAAGTTACGATTGAGTTACGACCCTGATTAATGATTACTGACCTTTATAATTCCTTATTTGGAAATCGCACGCCAGCCGTTACTGGCGATTGTGTTATCAGTTCAACGCGCGTCGTTCAATATACGCAAAGCTACTTTGTTCCCTCAGGCTATATACCTCGTCTTATCTACGGTAATCGACGCATTTCGCAAACACAATATATATTCAGGCTACAAAAATTGTTATCATTCTTGCACTGTTGCTGCACCCACCATAATACATACTTTTAGACCTCGATGTCACGATCAAGTCATCTCTACTAGTTGAGGCCATCTGGTTACAGCCGCTGGGCACGTTCAGCATCTCTTCATACTGTCTATTATAGAAGACACACAAAATCTGTTATTCCACTCATATCTCAAGCTTAACTTATGTAGTCCGATGTCCGCATATTTACTACCCTCTTCAAGTTCACACGGCGCTCCCGAACACACTTCGTCCATGAATTGCATGAACACTGCCAAGTCAAGCTTCAAGAATTGGTCCTGTGACACATCTGTCCACCACTCTGTTCACTCCACACGCCACCGTGCCGTGCACCGTAACCGTTAAGCGACATCGCTATGAGCTCTCCCCACGTTTCTTTTTCATGTTTCTTCCACAGTTGAATTGCCCTCCCTCGACGCTAGCCAAGACCCAGCTTTCGGATATGGATGACTGTGAAAACGTGAGTGTTTGGCAACTGCCCATAATTATATTTCAACTTACATTCATCAGTCGCCGCCGCCGCCGGCCACCCGGTCCTCTGCTGCTGCGGATGCTCCCGCTGTCAACCTCATGACCCAGTCACCTGGGCCATGTGTTATCGATGTTCCTCTCATGGGGAGTAAAGACATGTGCTCGGTCTATTTTTCTCGTATATTGGAAGTTTAATGCATCCACTTACAGCGCTGGTGCTCCCACCGATGATGGCGACTTGATTTGCGATGACGACTCTATTTCCCTCCTTTGCCGGGCCTTCTGCTTGTAGGCTGTTTTACTCGCTGCATTTGCCATTCGATAAATGCTTCAAACGTATGATCTCAACATGGCTGTTGGCGGTGGTCACTTGCAATAGCACTTTATGGTTGATTTGTTCATCCTCGACTCTGTCTATGCCAGGCGGAAGACTCGCACCCTCTGTCACTAGACTGGGCGAGGAGAATGGTGACTCAAAACTTGATCTGGATGCAAGTGTGGAGAAAGCACAGGACAGTATAGGAACCAATGTCTTCAGGTGGAGGACAATCTCATGTGCATAATCTTAACACATGATCTTAACGCATGTGTCTGTCTTGGCTTGTGGTTTGGTGAGCACTCCTCCACACACCCAGATCCCACAATGCTTCACCAATACCCCTTGCGAAGTTTACAGCCATCCCATACAGTGTCGCACGGGACATGGACTCCTTGGAGAGTACTATGTTTCATTCGTAGCACTGGCTGATTGTGCGGAGAACCATGTCAAAATGCGAGAGCATATCTTATGTGACTGCTCACTATTCACACATCAGTGCATCCACTTGCGCAAAGTATCCTATAACATCATACTCGTTGAACGAGATCCTGGCGGCCTGAGTATGGAGAAGGAATAGAGACGCTAGCGAAAAGTCTGACACTTTCGAGAAGGCCATACTGGGACAAGAAAGGGATTATGAGGATAGAGAGGGCGGAGGAAGCAGAGATGTAGGATGGAGGGGGAGGGGGAGAAAGAGGAGGAGGAGGAAGTGTATCATATTGTACCCAACTTGGACGCTGAACTCACTCACTCGCACACCACCAACATATCATCTCTTTAAATGCAGACCCCTCGACTACCATTCGTACCATACCTACACCTTATACTCGTCACAATCATCCCGACACAGCCCATGGGGCATGCCACACCATGTCTTCACAGTTTTCCCTTAAATTTTGTAGCCCGGGTATACAAATACAGAAATTCTCTCTCTATCTCCTCTAAGCAACATCGTAAGTGTGCCATCAGTAGCATTAAGCCCCTTGCAAGCGAGGTAATTCTATATCCAGTTGAAACTTCCCCAAGTATCCTTCCACGGACCACAATGCATTAAATATATATATATGTTCGATTAATTTTTTTTTAAAAAGAAATACAATTTCTGTCCATTTGGGTTCGATTACTTAGTTACACATCCCTACGATCTTGCAGGACTGTCTGGACTCATCTGGAGCCAAGTTACTAAGTTGGCACGTTCTAACCCTGAACTTTTTGGTGCCACAGGTTCCGGGCCAGACGAAAGTTACGAAACATGTGCACGCAATCGTTAGGATGGGCAATGTCCTGCAATGCCCAGCGTGTCGTTATGTAAACAGATCATGGTCTATAGATGTATTGACACAACCTTCCACATGTGTGTCGGTGGAGGCGAAATTTAAATAAATGGTACAAACATTTTTCTTCAAGGAATACAAGCAATGGGATATTTTGTGCCTATCTCCCTGCAAACCTTTTGTGTCCCACCTTCGTGTGCGAAGTGCTTGCGACAAGCTTGCGATCTTTCTGCTACTAGGACCCTTTGCACCCACTACTATCAAGGAACCACGGGCAGAGTTTCAATTTGGATGAACTCATCTCCGAGAAGCGTGTTGAGCAAAATGAAGGCAGACCCTGAACAGTTTGACAGGTACATGGTTGGACTGTCGTCTCATTGGTTGCGTGTTGGACAAAATAAGCAAGAACTGTCGTGTTCTCCGCGAAGTAGGACTGAATGAATTGATTAATGAGCAGTATGAGGGCATCCCGAAAAAGACGCCTGATCAATTTACCACACCGAATGAATAATGTTAAATAGCTGGTCCTCCAGTGAATATCGTCAGTCACAGGGACATCCTCCCCCCCAAGCCTTTTGGACTTCAATGTAGTGCACCATGACAATCAACGTCTTTTATAGCGTCACAGATCTGTTCTGTTCGTTTTGTAGTGATTTTCTCTACACTCCTCACTTAAGTTCCATGAAGCTACCACTCGAGCTCACTGCTGTCACTATTCTCTCCGTTTTGCCTCCCATGGTGCTACCAAACTCTGCATTACCAATCATATTCACAACCCCCAGGTCTTCACAATGCACTGAACCTGGGCCACCAAGAATATCTACCGTCTTTCTGGACCATGGGATTGCTGCCAGAGAGTACGGATCCTTGCCCAGGTCAATCTCCCTAAGGTAAGTTCACTATATGTACAGCCTTGTCTTTAAACACTCATTGTGTATGACCAGAGTTGCCCTACTACAGAACCTATGGGTCCGCTAGCTATGAGCACACTCACCTCAGTATGTCACACCCTCTGCGGGCCGCTGGACCCTCCTCATCACGTGCATGCAACCTGTCGTGGTGCAGATTCTCACCACAATAAGTCCCAACTCATGGAAACCTTGTGTGGAACACCCTCCGTGTTAACTCATGGGAACCTCGTGGGGAACACCCACTCCATGTCAACTCACGGGAACCTCATGGGCAACACCTTTGCCGTGTCGACTTACGAGAACTTTGTAGGGCGCATGGCATCACTGAGCGACCGCAGCCTGGAGGAGACTATTCTTATCAAGGGGGACACTCTTGTCACAGTGACCGTGAAAGCACAACTCAGCAACTCACATAGGCTCCTCACCGTGAGAGTGAGGTGCTTGGGTACGAATGACTATATTATTGTCACTCATACTCAAGGTATGCAGACAGAGAGGCTCTCAATGACTGCTTACGTGCACCTCCCTCGGAAATTCATCAAGAATACATGCATTCAGGAAGTTGCGAGGACTATGCTGGCATTGGCACACGTGTCTCCCCATGTTTACTGGAAGGGTTATTCCAGGCCTTGAGTGTTCTTGATGCGGTAATGTCTTACACCGAGGTTTAATCATCTTCTGCGTGTCTTTGGGTTAATACCTTGATTAACTGCGGCATTAACTCTTGTCCAATGTGTGTTGGCGGAGACTTCACACAACCACACGATGTATGCATGGACTCTGACGGCGTTTGAGGTGTGTTACAATAATACAGCAGTTCAGTTCCAATTATCTAAGCACAAGATAAAAGTCCTTCGTTTAATTGTTAATCCTTGTACCACCACCAAACTCATTTTCGAATTTTCTACCTCATCTTCAACATGGCAACGGAATTCACCCCAGGTACTGCAACTATAATTCACATCTCCCTCCGCCGTGAGGTGCTAATGCAACGCCAGGTTCACCCCCTGGTCAGGAAGACACACCTCTACCGGGTCGACCCTCAGACACAAACAACCGTACTGGCATTGTCATACAACAGAATTACATGGCCGAGGGTGTAACCATAAACATTTCTTCAAGCAACAGTTACGGTTCCAGTGAGTTCTCCACATATCCAGCTTGCCATTTAACTCACCATTTGAGTAAGCCGTAACCAAGCTAGAGCATACTGCCGCCCAATCAGGAGGGCCCGCGTCCTTACAGCATCTGTTAACGAGGCAGCCGGCTCCAGTTGAGTATGGTCATGAAGGTGTGGTGATCAATGGGAACATGTTTGGCGAGTATATGGCAATCAATATAGCATCACCCTACTCGACAGGCGCTGGTAGGTCCTTGCCTTCTGAATGAAAATACAAGAGCTTTACGATTCTTTGCCCTTGATCAGTTAAACAAACCGCTCTTCCATCCCCTGGCTGAACCTGAAACCAAAACTGAAACCGAAACAAGCGCCAAACCCAGAACTTTTAGTGACAGACGAATGGGATTTGAAGCTGATGTGAGCTCAGCGGCCGCTTATGATGATTCTCTGTTCTCTGTTCTTAACATGTATACACACTTGTACATCACGCGCTATGAAGTACTATTGCCATTACATAACGTCCGATGTTCACTGAACTGGCTGGTGGACCAAGCAATGATTGCCAATTGAGGACTGGCAAACACCGTAATTTAAATGAAGACTCATATATAAGGTGGAAGTGCCTATTGCTAAAATGTCCTGCAGAATCGTGTCTGTAGTGCTGGCGTCCTCTCTCCCGAGCTTCCTGCACTCCAACGCAGTGTGCCATGGTGATCGACGTCTTTGCAATGTCTTAGGTTGTTCTTTTCGTGGTGGTTTCTTCTACACTTCTCACACAACAAGCTGCTGCTTGAGCTCACCACTGCACTGTCTTCTCTCCGTTTCATCTCCCCTGGCACTGCCAAACCGTGCGATACCCATGATATCTACAGCCTCGGGCCTTCCTGATGCACGGGACCCCCCATGCCTTCGCAATGCCCCGGTATGTGCCGGTGTGCATGATGCATGCAACCCTTGTGGTGCTTTACGAGAACCTGATGGGGCACACTATCACCACATCAACTCAGAAGAACCTCGTGGAGAACACATTCACCGTCTTGACTCACGTCAGCCTCTTGGAGAACATCTTCATCTTCTTGACTTGTGAGAACCTCGTGGGGAACGGACCACGACCTGAATGAGACTACTCTTATCACGGGGATCATGGGGGCGCTATTGTCACAATGGCTGTTAAAACTTCTTGGATTCACAGATGCTCCCATGAGAGCGTCAGCTATTGTGAGGTGACTGGGTATGGACGACTATGTTATCGTGGCTCAAAGTATGCAGACCACTTGCATGGACCTCCTCTGGAAATTCATTGAGAATACATGTATTCAGGAAGTCATCATGACTATGCTGGCATGGGCATGCACATCAGCTTCAGCCTCCTCATGTTTACCGTGAAACCAATATGACACTGGTGCTAAAGTTCTTGAAGCAGTGATGATGCATACTGTTTATTTGTCTTTTGTGTTTTTAATACCTTGATTAACTATGATATTAACAACTTTGGTCCAGTGGTTGATATATATGTGTTGGCTGACATTTTACACAATCACGCAATCTATGCCTCGACTCTGAGGCTTGTTTTGACCATGCAGCAGCCCTGATTATCTTAGCAGATGACACTGCTTGTATCGACCTTATCTGCAGCTCGCCACCAACAGCATTTACCCTCAGTATACCTCATCTAAGTCTCATCCTGGGTCAGACTTCTGTGATGCCGACAACAAACCCCTACCGATGTCCTGCATGATTTGGGAATCATGCATGGACATGACTACTAGGTATCCCCCTAAAAGACAAAGTCTGTTAGCTTAGTCCTCAGACTAGTCAACCCATACCTTGGTATCAAACCTTGGTCCAATAGTTTCAGTTTTCCCTCAGTGATTCATGAATCCACCATGTTTTGAAGAAAAGTCATATGTGAGATGGGAATCACATAATGACCTAGTTGATATGAGAAGCAAAATGAAGGTTAAGGTATTGCCTTTCCTTTGGTTTATTCACTTTGGCTAGAGAAACCCATAGAGAAAAGTTCAAAGCCTAACAAAAACCTATCTAAAAAGCCTGCGTATTGTGTACTATTATTTGTTCCATTATTTCTGAGTTGTCTTCTCTAGTGTTTCTTCACTTTACTTTTCTATTAGGATGCTCTGACTAATCAGATGCTTCATAAAATTGTACCTACAGGGTATGATGTCATAGGACTTCACCTACACTCCTGCAAGTATTTTGTTGAAAGATATGATATCATAGTGATGTCATAATGATGTCATGTTCCATGGAATTTGCTAGAACATTCCAATGACTCATAATGACTCATAGTGACTCAGAATGATGTCATTATCCCACCATGAATATTCTGGAATGTTCTTTTGCACCTGCTAGAACATTCTGCTCCAGTTTTTGGAATATTCTTCTCACATTCTTTACATCACCTTTTTACTTACATAATATTCCCACACAAAATGTATATAAGGAGAGCCCATTCTCCCCCAAAAAAATAGATCTCCCACTTGTTGCATTCAAGAATCTCCCACTTGAGCAAATTGAACTCTCACCTAAGAAGCTTCAGTCTGAACAAATTGCTGCTTACAAAACCCATTTCCTTTGTAAGAACTGTCCAGACAAGTGCAGGGAAAGTGTTTCCCTTGAGATTACGTAAGTTTCTTGTGATAGAAACTCAGTTTTGTGAGACCAGTGTTCTCACCATGTAGTGTTTACTGACCAACACGAGCTTTGGTCACCGTTGTTATTTGTGAGAACAGCGTTCTCACCAGGTATTTGTATACTGACCAACACGAGCTTTGGTCATTGTTATTATTTATCATTGTTTTTCTATTTGTCATTGTTGTTATTTGTGAGACCAGCGTTCTCACCAGGTATTTGTATATCGACCAACACGAGCTTTGGTCAACGTAGTCACATTTGAGACCAGCTTCTCAACAGTTAATCATATATTCAGGAAACCAGTTCAAGTGTCTAGATGATATATCCTAGACAATCCCATAGTTTCAATCAGAGATAATAAAGCTCCGGCTAAGTTAATCTGACTGATTGGTTTAGTGAGCCTCCCAAGAACTCACACGTTATCTACCACGAAAGAAGAAAAGTCATAGACTGTGTTAATCGAGGACTGGCAAGAAGTCTTATCCAGTGTAATTGTGGTGTCATTACATTCTTACACATATTTATATAAGACCCTCGGTTATTAAGACACCGAGTCAACCCCTAGACCCAAACAACGGCACCATTGCCATACAAAATAACCACATCGTTGAAGGTGTAACAATCAACATAAATCCGAGCAACAGTTACAGCTCTAGTGAGCTCCTCACACATCCGACTTGCCATTCACTAACCTTTTGAATAAGCTGTGACCAAACTAGAACACGTCACCGCCCAACCGGAAGAGCCCACATCCTCACAGTATCCATTAGCGAGGTCACTAGCCCCAGTTGACCACGGTCGTGAAAGTGTAGTAATCAATGGTAACACGTTTGGCGAGCACGTGGTAATAAATATAGCATCTCCCTACTCAACTGGCGCTGGTGGGTCCTGTCCTGTTGAATGCAAACTCAAGGCTTTTATGCTTATTTGCTGTTGATCAGTTAAACAGACTGCTCTTCCATCCCTAGGCCAAACCAGGAACTGCACCAAGAACCGAGCCAAGAATATCTAGTGACGGACGGATGTGAGTTCAGCAGCCGCTGTAGAGACTCGTGTTTCTGCAGGCACATATGGGCACATTTCACACCTTTTCACAAATCATGACAATTGGCCTTCAATGCACGACTCGCACCATCAGCTATATTCGACTTCTATCATGTCTCTAGTCGTTTTACACATAACACGCAGCTTTCCCACGAAACGCGCCATAGGCGCGGTACTTTCCCGCACAATGCACAGCATTCCCACACGTGCACCTTGCGCGCTTTCTCGCACTTTCTCGCACTTAAGCGCCCTGCATCGCCTATCATCCAGGAACGTCCCTCTATGTCCACCCACCTCATTGGTACGTCATATCCCTTGCCTCATGGTTTGTAACAAGCATTGCAGCGCTATTACATGTCATTATGTATTTTTAGCGCTTACTGCTCCTATCCCTTCCGCTTCCGATGTGATTTCCATAGTATAAAAGTTTGCTGACTTACTACTCCATCATTATTACTCCCCTTTGCTGTATTTCCCTCGCTATTGGGTTTTACTTTAAAGTAGTAGTCACCACTTGGGCACACTTTGTGTTTCCAATGGTTATCGTTATCCGCCTATACTAGACTATTATCTGCGCTCGTTATAACACTCGCTCTGCATTTGCACTTGCTTTGCACATCCACTTCCTTATCCATTTCCTTATCTGGTATTTTCCGCACAATGCGCGCCTTAGCACTCACGTTCCCACGCTCACACTTACCTTAGTGCGCTCTCTCGTGCTTCGTGCTCACTTCGCTTTTCTTCTTGCGCTTTCGCGCATCCATCGCACTTCAAGGGTCTTTCTTTCATCTGGTTCTGTGTTCAGTAGCAGTCCCCTGTAGGGTCGAACGTTCTTGCATTCTGTGAGTATAGCAGCTAGGCAGAGCCAAGACTCACTTATACTGGTTGAGCATTTTTAGATATTTCATATCAGCCCAGCCAGGTTGAGATCGCCTCACCGCTTCCGACGATTCTCAGTTCTTCTCCATTCTAATGTGAAACTCATTCCAGTGGGCTCCTCAGCATAGGCCACAGGGCACTGCGGCTTGCGGTATATAAATACAGAAATTCTCTCTCTCCTCTAGGCTTCGCTCGTATATTGTTTGTTTGATATGACTCGTGATAACATCAGTGTTATTGTCTCATTTTTGACGTGATTCCAAGTGATTCATTGCCCAGTTTATCTTGACAGTTTTGCGGTTACAACGTTCTGAAACGGTTCAGCAGAGTTTATTATCAATGGTGGAAATGAACATTTGACTAGTATAATTGATACATATGCTGGTGTCATATGTTGATTAATGATGACATGGATGTGAAATGGGCAGCCATACCATAGATATTGATCATGACGACCTAAATTGTTCGATCCTGGACTAAGACCTCAGAGAAAAAGAAAAAACTGTCCTCTGCAGCAGGTTTCGAACATGCGCAATCCTTCGAGTCTGTTGGGGTACCGGAAACCTTGTGGCTAAGACCACTGGTTAAGATTGTCCCCGACCAGTTGAATAATAATGGCGAGGGACTGTTCTGATTAAAACAAAAATAGTCATCCTCACGTTTCGAACCTGCGCGGTTCAAGAGGAACAGATTTTGACTCTGTTATGGTAACAACCACTAGTCATCAGGAAATCGCCGAGGTGATGGTTTTCGTAGTTGTAGTTGGTAAGACCAGATCAAAAATTCATGCGATTATATATAATGACAAAAGTAGACAAAATAATATATAAGATAAGCAAATCGGTAGTGAAGGATAAGATATGGCAAAAAATGTATAATTCCCGCTACGGCAGTAGTGGGTTTTGCTGGTGTCATGCTCTAAAAAACCTCATTGTTCAATTTTTGGCAGTAAAATGCATTGATTTCCTAAAAAGGCGTTTTGTTCGCATGGTCATGTGACAATATTTCTAAGTCTTTGCTATGTGTATGTCGGTCTTTCTTAGTTGTCAATTACTATGTCTTTCATCTATCACGAAATCATCGGATCCTTTGCTGACGTACCTGCTGTTATCCGCTGTAGAGACTCGCGTTTCTGTGGGCTCATATGGACTCATATTACGAATTCTGATGACTGGCCTTCACAGCACAACTTGCACCATCACCCTCTAGTCATTCCCTATAGAGTGCACCACTCTCCCGCTAAACGCGCCATAGGCACGACACTTTCCCGCACAATGCGCAGTATTCCCGCGTGCGCGCCTTGCGCGCTTTCTCGCGCTTAAGCGCACTATGTCGCACAGCATCCAGGAGCATCCATCCATCATCCAACCAGTCCCTCGGTATGTCCCTTTTCGTTATCTGACCATATTTAGCATATTACACTTCCCATTTCGTTATGCACCCTTACTTTACATCACCTTACCTCATTTACATACTTAGAGCGCTCCCTATTCGGCTCCGAGCCCTGGGAGAGCGCTTAGGTAGAACTTACATACTCTCATGTTCGTTTTACACCCCACTATTGGACTTTATTACAAACTATAGGACCTTAGCTTCCTACCACCAGCTTCCTACCACTCAGTATCTATCACCAGTTAGTTCCATGCAATGCATGTGTCAATCATCGTTTTGAGGCCCTAGCATCAGTCTATAGCTAGTGGCACCTTCAGTATCCGTCTAGATCCGCACTTTTCCTCTCCCCAGTCTCAGTATACATCTTTTACACCTGTGCACTGCTTGCACTACCTTCCCGCGCTTCGCGCACTTTCGCACTTCGCTTTCCCGCGCGCGCCTTCAGCGCGCTTTCACCGCCATTCACCAGGGTTGTTCAGCATCATTCCGTGGATCCTTGCTTTCCTTGCTTCCCCTTTAGGGTCAAACGTTCTTGCATCCTGCGAGTATAGCAGCTAGGCAGAGCTGAGACTCACTTATACTGGCTGAGCACTTTTCTTATATGTGCCTGCCAGGTTGTGATACCCACACCATGTCAATGGTGTGAGTCTTGACTCCACCGTGTCCTTGTCTTTTCTGCACAGTTGCAATGTGCCACACTCTATTTTTAATCACAATGGTGTGGCTGTGGAGTCGAGTTCTGGTCCAGTGCGTGTTCCTACTGTTGACAGGTGGTATAATTCTCGGCAGACATTTCGCTCCATCTATTTGAAAGGGTGCAATGTCGAGCTTGGTCATGATTGGCTCGTGTTCGTGAATGCGAGGTTCGATGGCTCTCAATTTCTTCGACCTTTGGAGATGGATCTAATGCAGCTTTCTGATGGTCATACTTGGAACGTTCAGCCTGGAGGTCAGTGTGTATGTTTCCAACACATATTGAAATGGCTGAATGATATTTTTAGGTGGTCTGTCCACTTGTTCTTCTGCTACCCAAGTGGAATCATGTCTAGCTACCCAAGCGGGTTCATCATCTGCTACCCGAGCGGGTTCATTATCTGCTACCCAAGCGGGCCAATCTTTATTGAATCATAATGATCGTGTTGTAGATAATTTCTTCGATGGTTATGAAAGATTACGAAGACCTGATCTTAGTGCATTGGCGACTGCCCATGGACTTTTGGTACCTGAAAACTCAATTATTGAAGAACTTCAAGAGATCATTTCTCATCATGTCGGTACTGGGATATGTTCTTCTTCTGCATCACAATCATTCAATGGGTGTAATTCACTGCGTTAACAGTTAAACTTGCATTGTGAAGATGAAGAGGAGGTGCTCTCTGGCAGAATCGCGTTCTTGACAGCCGTATTGACTAATATGAAACGACGTCCTTTGGAATGATTACTGAAAGCAAACGGAATTGATTTTCAATCTGGATCGAAAACGGGACGACTATGTCACACACTGAAAAAGCATATCCATTCGTTGAAAAAAGCTAAGTCGAAATCTTCTAAACAAGTGCAAACAAGATTCCATGATCATGAAATCCATCGTCGACAGCTTCATTCTGATTGGCCTCAGATTCCGTCTTCACAGCTAAAGCGTCAATTAGTGCAAATGTTCAAGGATGAGACCTCTTCTGCCAATTTGGCCACATTTACTTGCGTGTGCTGTGCCGAGAGTGTTTTGTGTTCCGATCATGTAATTGCATCTCTTGATGACTATGATTTGTCTCTTTTACACAGGCCAGACCGACAGAATGATCAATACATGTCAAATGATTATTTTGACAAGGACTGTCCTCTTCCCCAGCTTCCGTTGTCAGAATTGGACAGTCCACTGCATGACTTGATGGTCGATCCATCTGGAGTGAAACAATCTGCTGATGGTAAATTTCAACTGCTCTTATGCGGAGTTTGTCACAAAAGGATTCGCAAGGGAAAACGACCTGCTCTCAGTCTTGCGAACCGTACGTTTTTAGGAGATGTACCTGATGAATTGAAGGATCTGACAGTCGTCGAGGGAAGCGATGATTGCTCGCTGGTGTGCAAAGTGCTGGATTGTTCAGTTGAAGGAAGAAAATCAGGACCTGCAACTTTCTACTAATCAACGCGGGATTAAGGGTCACATAATTATCTATCCTCAGTGCCCGGAAGGGATTGCGAAAGTCTTACCTCCACCTGTGGCTGATATTATCACTCCGATCTGTGTTATTTTTGTAGGCTCATGTCCTCCAACTCGCGCATGGCTTGAAGAAAAGGCGAAGCCTTTGATAGCTCGTAGAGAAAAGGTTCGCGCTGCATTAGTTTGGCTGAAAACACACAATCGTTTGTAGAAGGACATTGTTAAGACCGTACTCAAGTAGTATCGGATCCGAAGGGCTTCGGCCTCAGCTCGTGCGCTGTGCCCCTTTCCCAAGTCTTGCCCCTTATTTCAGAGAGCTAAAGTATCGCGTCTAGTGAGACGGATAAGTATTGTAACGGATAAGTCTCGTATCGCAACGGATCCGTTAAGACTTCCGGATATTGAACATATAGAGTAACGGCTAATCCGGATTGGATCCGGACTAGAAAACTAACGGGTGAGGACTGTCCGAAGACAGAGGCGGATATGTAGACTATAGGAATCTATCCTAAGTCTCGGAGTAGACAAGAGTAGCGTACTCAAGTCCAGACGGAATGAGTGCAATCTAAGATGATATTCAAACTGATCTCCTACAGCGCATATACAAAGGTTTATATACTACGGATAGCTAACGGAATGATCAATAAGCAAAGGTGCGAGGCTATGAACGAAAGTATAAGCAAAGTCTAAGTGGAGCGTATTGGTAAGTCGGATGGATCACGAATCATGAACCGGGAATGAAGTACAAGTAAAAGCGGATTCGTAAGTGTAGCGGATCAGTAAGCAAAGCGGAAGTAAAGGATAACCGGTATACCGGTGTACAGGAATACCGAAAGGAGATGAACGATAGTTAGAGTTATATGAACAGGAAATGAAATAAGAATCAAAGTGGATCTGTGGACCGGACGACGGATATGTTCATCGGATCTGGATTGGATCTGAGATCCGAATCATCGGATCTGTAACCGGATATATGGTATATGACAGTATCCCCCCCTTAGGGCCGATCCCTAGAGGCACAAGAATCAGCGATCCGGAACGGATGGTATGAGTGCGAGACAATGGAGAAGCTGATGGGAGAAGTTTGCTGAGTTCAGATTCTGACAGATATACGGATGCCAAAGCGTCGCAG